AAAAAAAAAAAAAAAAAGACTGTTAGGTCTGCTTCCTGTTGAAAAGATTCTTTAAGAAAAACTTCACATTCCTGATTCAGTTGAAACTTACATACATTCTCTCTTGCAGGCAATAGTTATTATCTTTTCAATAACAATTTATGAAAAAATAAAAAGTTCTGCCTTTCACATCAGCACAAAAGACAAAAGCAGAAATTGAAAATAAACAATTTTAGTCCTAGCTTCAGTGTTCTGGGCTACAGAATGGCTCAGATTATTTATTTTTGAAAATATAAAGAGTAAAACTTTAATAAAAATTATGATGAATGTTCTGTTTTGTGTGTTTGTGTTTGTTTACATTTTATTAGATGCCTTAGGCAAATTTCCAGTGTATGATGGCAAATGGTGGCCGTTCTTACCATCCCCCCAGTTTTATTCATTGTTTTATTAGTAAAGGAAAGTATAAAAGTTAAGGGTTTCAAAGTGATGCTCATTGTTGAAATTGTGAGTCTGTGTTCTGTCTAGCTACTGACTGATTTTTTTACTTAGATGAGAGTGCTTTTTTTAGATTTCACTTTTATCAAGTATTAAAGCTATAAGAATGGTCTCTGAACTGCCTCAATTTGTTCATATATGTATTCTTTAGGTGATAAAATGAATTTGTAATTATGCTATAAGTTCCCTAGCTATCTAATATTACTTGTTGAATAGATTGAATTCAATAAAAATGGAATCTTGCCCGGCCGGGGTGGCTCAGCAGTTGAGCGTTGACCTAGGATCCAGGCGATCGGGGTTCAATTCCCAGTCAGGGCACATGCCCGGGTTGCAGGCTCGATCAATGACTCTCTCAACATTGATGTTTCTATCTCTGTCTCTCCCTCTCCCTTCCTCTTTCTGAAATCAATAAAGATATATTTTTAAAAATAAAATAAAATAAAAATTGAATCTTAACTCAGTGAAGAACTGATCTTACATTGTATATTGACTCTACATTTACTGGCTCCTCATAGGAGACTCCAGTGCTTACCAGAATAGAAAAACAGAAGCGCAAAGAGGAGGAAGAAGAACGTCAACTTCTTCTAGCAGTGCAGAAGAAGGAGCAAGAGCAGATGCTAAAGGAAGAGAAGAAACGGGAGTTGGAGGAAAAGGTCAAGGCAGTAGAAGGTATGTGGGCTTTCTGTGTAGTCTGGACAGGTACATGTGGTGTGGGAATAGCACTTCTATAGCGAAATCCGCATCAAACTGTGTTCTGTCATTTATCTAAGCTGTTTCTGGCAATTTCTAACTTGTAAATTGTATTCTGTCTTGTTTTACTCATCTGGATTCAGTCTCATTGCCATTGCATTCCTGCTATTCCTCATATTTTTCATTCTGTGTCTTCCTTTCATACTCTTGCTTATTCTCATTTCTGCTATGTCCCTTATATAGAAGGAAAAAAATAAGAATTGATGACAACTAATTTCACAGAATTTTAAACACAAATGTGCTTAAGAAAAGTCTTAGAGATTTTTTTCAGCTCTGTGACACTGTACAAATCTGGAATATTATGAGGGCAAATTGTTTCCTCAATCTTAGGTCCTGGTCTTAGTCTTAGTATCATGAAATTTTCTTTTATTTGTGATTATAACAACTGTCTCTAGATGTTTTATGTAGCAGTTACATCTATACGCTGAACCTGACATGTCGTGTGATAACAGATCATTTGGCTTGGTTGAATACTGGCCAATATTTATTTTCTTTTAAATAAGTGTACTGACCCCAGCCGGGCGTGGCTTAGCAGTTGAGCATCGACCTAGGATACAGGAGATTGAGGTTCGATTTCCGGTCAGGGCACATGCCTGGGTTATGGGCTTGATCCCCAGTCAGCGTGCAGGAGGCAGCTGATCAATGACTCATCATTGATGTTTCTATCTCTCTCTCTCTCTTCTTCTCTCTAAAATCAATAAAGATATATTAAAAAATAAATAAATGTACTGAGCGCTGGGTGATTTAGCTTAGTGGATAGAGTGTTGGCCTTTGGACTAAAGGGTCTGGGATTCGATTCTGGCCAAGGACATGTACCTAGGTTGCAGGCTAATCGATTCCCCAGCCCCGGTCAGCGTGCGTGCAGGAAGCAACCAATCGATGTGTCTCCTTCACATCTATGTTTCTCTCTCTTTCTCTGTCTCCCTTCCACTCTCTCTGAAAAAGCAATGGAAAAAATATCCTCGGGTGACGATATAAATAAATGTATTGAACTTTTACTATTGAATTTTTTACTAAAATGGCGTAACGTGTATATGATTTTATATGGCGTTTCATTGCAAAATTTAAGTTACTTTTGGCTATAAAATTTATTATTTATTTTTTAATATATCTTAACTGATTTCAGAGAGAGAGAGAAACATTAATGATTAGAGAGTCGTCATTGATCAACTGCCTCCTGCACGCCCCCAACTGGGGATCGAGCCCCTCAACCTGGGCATGTGCCCTGACTGGGAATTGAACCTCGATCTCCTGGATTCTAGATCAGTGCTCAGCCACTGAGCCACTCTTGGCGGGGCTTGGCTATAAAATTTAAAGGAGCATTTTTACTCCCATTCCTTTTTTTTTTTTTAATTTGAGTTTATTTGAGCCAAACTTATGCCATGTCAAGAAGCAAGATCTTAAGTGCTCTGAAGATTGACAGTTTTGCAGTTCCTTTTATACATTTGGAATTTAATTAAATTTATTGGCGTGACAGTGGTTAATATGAACATATAGGTTTCAGGTGTAGGTTTCTATGTTACAAGAGCTGTATAGTGCTCTGTATGCCCACCACCCAAAGTCCTATCTTCTCCTGTCACCATTTATTAAGACCCCCTTCACTCCATACCCCCTTTCCTCTGGCAACCACCACACTGCTGCTTGTGTCCACGAGTTTCAGTTTTATGTCTCACATATGAGTGAAATCTTACGGTTCTTAGCTTTTTCTGACTGACTTATTCACCTAGCATAATATTCTCAAGGTTCATCCATGTCATTGCAAAAGGCAGTATTTCATCCTTTCTTATGGCTGAGTAGTATTTCATTGTGTGCATGTACCATATCTCCTTTATCCAGGCCTATATTGCAGGACACTTTGATTGTTTCCATGTCTTGGCCACCGTGAATAATGCTGCAGTGAACATAGGGGTGCATATATCTTTGCAAATGCATGTTTTTGAGTTTTCAGGTATATACTCAGGAGAAGGATGGCTGGGTCGTATGGTAGCTCTATTCTTAATTTTTTTGAGGAATCACCAGACTGCTTTCCATAGTGACTGAACCAGTCTACATTTCCACCAGAGGTGAATGAGGGTTCCCTTTTCTCCACAACCTCTCTGTAATGGCAACAACCAAGGCCAGGGAGGTTCGCACTAGATCTGGACATTCCGAAGGAAAACTGTGGGGTAGAAGGATGAGACATGACTTTATTCAGCTGATGGCCATACACGGGGGGCAAAACCATCTCTTCTCCCAGTGGCTGCCAGCTGGGGGTACACGGCGACAAAGCCCAGAAAGTCCTGGGTCAGTCTTAAAGGAGCCAGAACAATAGTGGCTCTCAGTCAGCCAAGGATGGGTCAGACATTAGTCAGCTAATGTGATGTCTCTTATGACTATGCTATACCATGTTTATGTAACTGGGGCTTCTGCCAAGAGAAGGTGACGAGAAAGCCTAAATGTTTTCACTTTCCCCACACTCTCCAAAACGTGTTATTGCTTGTCTTGTTGATAATAGCCACTCAAGCAGGTGTGAGGTGGTATCTCATTGTAGTTCTGATTTTCATTTCCCAAATTGCTAGTGAGGTTGAACATCTTTTCATATATCTATTGGCTGTTTGTATGTCTTCTTGGGAGAGGTGTCTATTCAGGTCCTCTGCCCACTTTTTGATTGGGTTGTTTGTTTGGTGTTGAGTTTTATGAGTTCTTTATATATTTTGAAAGTTAAACCTTTGTTGGAGCTACTGTTTGCAAATATCAGCTCCCGTCTGATTGGCTGCCTCTTTGTTTTGTTTGTTTGTTTTGTTTTTAATCCTCACCCGGGGATATTTTTGCCTTTGCTTTTCAGAGGGAGTGGAAGGGGGGGGAGAGAGAAACAGAAACGTCAGTGTGAGAGAGACACATCGATTGGTTGTCTCCCGCACGCCCCCCGACCAGGGCCAAGGATTGCGCCTACAACCAAGGTATCTGCCCTTGGCCAGAATCAAATCTGGGACTCTTCAATCTGTGGGCTGACGCTCTAATCGCTAAGACAAACTAGCAAGGGCTGCCACTTAGTTTTGTTGTCAGAAGCTTTTGCTGTGCAGAAGCTTTTTAGTTTGATATAGTCCCGTTCACTTATTTTTGCCTTTACTTCCCTTGCCTTTGGCGTCAAGTTCATAAAGTGTTCTTTACAACCAAGATCCATAAGTTGGGTACCTGTGTTTTCTTTTATGTAGCTTATGTTTCAGGTCTCACATTTAGGTCTTTGATCCATTTTGAGTTAATTTTTGTACATGGGGACAAACTAATCCAGTTTCGTTCTTTTGCATGTGGTTTTCTAGTTTTCCCAGCACCATTTATTGAAGAGACTGTCTTTGCTCCATTGTGTGTTTCTGGTTCCTTTGTCAAAAATTATCTGCCTTTGTACATGTGGTTTTATTTCTGGGCTCTATTCTGTCCCACTGATCTGTGTGTCTGTTTCTATGCCAATGCCATGCTGTTTTGATTATCGTAGCTCTGTAGTATAACTTGAAGTCAGGTAGCATGATACCTCCAGCTTCATACTTTTTTCTCAGGATTGCTTTGGCTATTCAGGGTCTGTTGTGGTTCCATACAAATCTGATGATTTCTCATTCTATTTCTTTAAAAAATGACATTGGTATTTTGATGGGGATTGCATTAAATCTGTATATTGCCTGTCTCTTATACACATCTAGATGTGTATAAGAGACAGCCCCCAGGCCAATCAGCTGTGAGGACCAGCTNGGTAATATGGCCATTTTAACTATGTTGATTCTTCCAATCCATGAACACAGGATATTTTTCCATTTTGTTGTGTCTTTTTTAATTTCTTTTAACGATGCTTTGTGATTTTCAGTATGTAGATCTTTCATGGTCTTTGTTAAGTTTATTCCTAGGTATTTTGTTCTTTTGATTGCAGTTGCAAAGGGAAATGTTTTATGGGGTTGTGTGTTTTCTTCATATCTTTTTCTGAAATTTTGTTGTTAGTATACAGGAAGGCATTAGATTTTTGTACATTGATTTGTATCCTGCAACTTTACTGTATTTGTTTATTGTTTCTAATAGTTTTTTGGTGGAGTCTTTAGGGTTGTCTATATATAGAATCATGTCATCCACAAAAAGTGACAGTTTTACCTCTTCTTTTCCTATTTGGATGCCTTTTCTTTCTCTTGCGTTATTGCTCTGGCCAGGACTTCCAGAACTGTGTTGAATAAGAGTGGTGAGAGTGGATATCCTTGTCTTGTTCCTGATCTTAGAGGAAAAGCTTTTTTTTTTCACCATTGAGTATGATATTAGCTGAGGGTTTATCATATATCACCTTTATTATTTTAAGATACATTCCTTCTATTCCTATTTTATTGAGAGTTTTAATCATAAATTGATGTTGTATCTTATCAAATGTTTTTTCTGCGTGATTCATAAGATCATATGATCTTTATCTTTTCTTTGTTAATGTGGTATATTATAGTGATTGATTTATGTATGTTGAACCACCCTTGTGCTCCTGCAATGAACCCCACTTGATCGTGATGTATTGTTTTTTTTCATGTACTGCTGGATTCTATTTGCTAGTGTTTTGTTTAGGATTTTTACATCTGTATTCATCAGAGATACTGGTCTGTGGTTTTCTTTTGTGTGTGTTATCTTTGCAAGGTTTTTGTATTAGGGTTATATTGGCCTCACAAAATATGTTAGGAAGTTTTGCCTCTTCAATTTTTTGGAAGAGTTTGAGAACAATATCTATCAAATCTTCTTTGAACATTTGGTAGAATTCACTGGTAAAGCCATCTGGTCCTGGACTTTTATTTTTTGAGAGGTTTTTGGTGGTGGTTTCCATTTCCTCGCTGCTGATTAGTCTATTTAGATTTTCCAATTCTTTATGATTCAGTCTAGGAAGGTTTTATATTTCTAGGAACTTACGCACTTCTTCTAGGTTTTTT